TCATTGTAATATTTTGCTTTGTCATCCCGTGCTGCCTTTTGAAATCTTCTATTCAACTCTTTAGTATCTTGAATTCTTCCTTGTGCTTTGGCTTCTCTGTGCTATAGTACACAGAAATGCAAATCCAACTAGTAGTGAAATTACACGTAATATATGCTTGGCATGGAAAATAAAATCAACTTTAATATTGCCTGTCATAGTAAGGATTCTGTAGATGGTGCAAGTAGTTAATGTACCTGGTTAATTGAAAGGCTGGAGGTCTAGGTCTACTCAGACATTTTAGAAAAAAATTCTGATTATCTACTTATAAAAACTAGTCATTAAAAACCCTGTGAAGAATAGTTATTCTCTGACACATACAGGGTCAGTAGGAATTCAGAGTTGACTTGAGGACAACTGATTTGACTCATATTAAGTCAATGTTACTGACACACAGATGATGTAAAGGAATACAGGGTGCAACTTTTCTCCTGCTCTTAAAGATTCCCATTGATCCACACCCTTTACTAGTCAGTACAAATGTGTTTTACTATTAACTGAGCTACACAGTGAAAAAAAACAAAGCTAACAGTAGACACCAAAACTAACTTTTCTTTGGCCTTTTTCATACTTTCATGGACACAACTGAGCTAACTTGTCTACACTGTTTCTAAGAGAAATCAAGTTAGAACTACCAACTCAAAGGAATAGTTATTTTCTATGTTGACCACTGGAGCTTCTCATTATTTTTGAGACCTAAAATTTTGCCCCATAAAAACTAAAAATAGCTTCCAGATTAATATAACAGGATCTAAAACTTTGTTACTAGTTTTCTGGGTTTTTTGTTTGTTTTTTAAGTAGTCTGGCAATTTATGATTTTACAGTCTAGATGTTTTCTTTTTCATCTTCATATTTTAATCTCACCGTTCAAACATTAGCATCTCCATCTATGTACTTACATATACACAGGTTTACTAAGAAAATAAAGTAGACTAACAAATCCTGAAGTGTGGGTCTAATTATTACTTCCCTCTTGAATGACCGTTTCCATTTCTGAGTCCCTATGAGACATAAAACAAAAATTTTTTCTTTCAATTATTAAGTAATTGATACTGCATTACCCTTCCAGTGACAGAACAGAATGGGGCACTTGTAGCTGTTACCTATCCTATGCCAAAGAGCGATGGCTTTCTGGCTAACTTTTTATTCTCATTTTAAGTGAGGTAGGGATAATTAGGATTTTCCCATGGCAGTCAACGAACAGTCGTTTTAGGCCTATAATCTGGCAGATTTTTATAATCAGGATGTTTCCTCACCAGTCCTCTCTTAAAATGAAAAGGCAAAATACGATACAAGCAAAACACCTCTCATTGATTCCCAATCTTCTCCTGTTAATATGGCGAAGGGGGTATGCGGGAAGAACTCTATTTGGGGTTTTGTCAAGACCACGACACTGAAAGAAAAGGACTTGAGAGGCTGGCCTACTGAAGGTCACTGACTGGCAGGTGGCCGCGCCCAGCCTCGAGCTTCGGCAAAGGGCTGAGGGTAGGACTTTTCCCTCTCCTCTTCCTGTCTTGTCAAATGCTATGAGCCGTCCCATCTAATAGAAATTTCGGGTCACAAAGTTGCTTCCAAGGATTTAAAATTTTAAAGCCTGCTTTACAAGTACGTCCCAACCTACTCCCTAAAAAGACACCTCACCGCCTTGGTGCCATCTAGACGCCTCGGCCATGGCGAAACAAGCAGCCAAAACCGGTCAACCAGCCGGACTCTGCTGCGATTGCGCGAGAGTCCATCGCGGCGCCTGCTCCGTTCATGCGCCTGCGCGAGCTCTGCAGCTAAGGGAGTCAATGCGCGTTCGGAGTTACTGCAAAGCTGCTGAAGGCCACGATGCAATGCAGGAGGTGCTTACCTGGCACTGTGGTGTTTGTGTCTACAGGGGCTCCGCTTCTGCGATAAGCCAAGCTTTGAGCCTGGGTCTGATCATAAAAAAGCATGTTGTTGTTGATTGCCATCGAGTCGAGCACGACTCATAATGATTCTATGAACATATTGATAGAAAGAGAATTGATGCCTTTGCGCTGTGGTGCTGGAGGAGAGTGTTGAATATACCATGGACTGCTAGGAGAACAAACAGGTTTGTCCTGGAGAGGGTGAAGCCAGAATGTTCCCTGGAGTCAAGGATTCTGAAGCTTCGTCTGACATATTTTGGGCATGTTGCAAGGAGGTCCTTGGAGAGGGACATGTTTGGCAGAGTGGAGGGGAGGCGAAGGAGAGGAAGACCTTTGATGAGATGGATCGATTCTGTGACTGGAGCAGTGGGAATAAGTGCGTTTAAATGGCTAGGTTGGCACAGGATAGAAGAGCATATAGAGCTCTTGTACATAGGGTAGCAAGCGACTAGATGGCACATAACAACAACAACAACATATATATCTATATAATGATCATAGTTTCTCCCAAGTTCATAAGAGTTTCCATAGGCAGGCGGTTTAGGAATTGTGTGCCACTCATCCTTCCAATCCTGTCCTACACTGGGAGTTCCACCAAACACTGTCCATATTGATAAACCATTATGGTATTTGATACCCTAATGGCCCAAGGTTCGGCATCAGAGCAAACCCAGATTACCTCAGTACAGCAAATTGACAAGGAGTAATGTACAAAGTAGAATGTTCTTTCAAAATATAACAACACTAATCTCACTTAGTAATTGAATTTTTTATTTATTTATATTTTTTAGTAATTGAATTATTAACTGCCCTTAATATTTACTCTCTTTTTTAATCCAAATCCACTTGGTGATTTTGGTTAGTCTACACATCAATCTGTCTTAAAAGCAGGTAAGCAGATTTATCCCCACTTTTAGGCCCGAGAAGATCAAGGCTGAGAAGTTAAATAACTTACCCAAAATATACGGCTAGTTGAGGCATGGATCTGCTGGATGCTATTGTTGTACTTTCTTCAGTGAACCCAGGTTGTCAGCTGCTACTTGCAGAAACTTTATTAATAATTGAGAGCAATTCCTTGAAACAACTCTCATTTCTATTTCCCCAGTATAACTAAAGAAAACATTAAAATACACTGAAACAAACTCCCACCTTTTCAGCAATTCTGTCAAAAATTAGGCTGAACAGTCAGTCGCCCGTGGGAGCCTAGGCCCACGTCTGGCACAGAGATTTTGCAAAGATGACAAGGTTTGTCAATCAGCTGTAGAAAAGGCTGAACAAATCTGGTTATAAATTAAGATGCAAAGCCTAGCCAGGATTTGATGGGTGGGATTCTCACGTTGGTAAAATGGGAATTAAAAAAGTATTCAAAGGTGGCTAGAGGCTGCCAGCAAAGAAAATTGTCAACCTATTTTGAAAAGAAAAAGAAAGCTACTTTTGTTCGTTTCTTGAGAGAGATAGTGATATCTTCTAGGTGGCGATTTTTTGGGTTGTTGATGACTTCTGTTTTCTGCACAGATAATAAGCAAAAACTAGGCCACACAGTAGTGAGGATCAAAAACTTTCCAGTGATAAAAGGAACAGGAGACACCTTGCAAAAGGTGAACAGCCATCAGAGGAGAGGGTCAAGAAAAAAAAAAAAACAACTATGGTACTGGCTTAAGAATAGCTTTAGTTTTTTGTTTTGTTTTTTTTTAAAAAAGTTTTCTAAAAGGGTTTGGCCTTCCCTGTACTGGGAGTCTTAGATATTCACAAATTATGTTTTCAAATGGGCTGGGTTTTCTGTGCACACTGAATGAACTTAAATTTGTGGAAATAAAACTCCCAAATTTAGATATTTGAATTTATGTTAAATAATTATAAGAATTATACAGATAACTTTCATAGAACTCTGTTGAATAAGAAAAGAATTTATACATATAATTACTAGAGACTTAATAAACTTGATAGACTAAAAGTTCTTGAAGAATTAGAAACCTATTTGGTTAAAACAAAATGTTAATTTCAGGAGCAATTCAGTCATGCTCTAAGTTATTATGGTTGCCTTTGAAATGTAATCCATGGAAAATATGGCTCTGCTCCAGGAGAAACTGCGGTGTAACTGAGTGCCAGGAAGAAGATATTCTTAAAAAATATTGTTATCCTTTTTGAACTTGTTACCCATGAGGTTTTTTTAGGTGTTGCTTTTTGCTTGAATTTTTTAAAGAGGAAATAGTCTTTCAAATATTTTAAATTTTATTCTTTTTTGACATAAAACTATGGAACACTCAGATAATTTATATCATGTTAGTATTCCTATAAGAAAAACATGTAAAATAGTACTTAGAAAGCAATACCAGTAAACTTTATCTCATTACAGGCATTAGAGAGTTTAAAATGTAATCATTTATAATTTGTGATTGTCAGATGTTTATGATTTAAATGTTAAAATTCCACATTTTGAGACAGTCTTCTACAATTACAAGGTTTTCTGGAGGTTTTGCAGACCAAAGACATATATAGAATGTGCAAAAGTAAAAGGAAAAATGTTTTCGATATGTATTTCTATTTGTTATTTTACCTAATTAAGGCGACATTGTGTTAATACAGCTATGAATTTATTTCAGAAATTTAATTGACTATTATTATTAACTGCAATGATGATTTTCAATATTGGTAACGTTATTACAGTTCTTCGCTTTCATAGAGTCCAGACTGAGCTGCAAGACGCTGAAATTCTCCTTCTGGGTTAAAAGCTTGTTTCACATCTAAACCTTTTCCATTGAGTGCTAAATATTTGCTGAAAGTTGGTCGAACACGTAACTGCTTAGGAGCTGGAAGAGTTTGGTTTGGATGGGCTGAAATAGATAAAATAAAAAGTTAATTCAGACAACCCATTCTAAGCAATTTGGTTATGCTAGATAATCATTAACAGACAAGAAAAGAAAAATAATCACTGATCATGTGAGAATAATTCCTCAGATTTTATACTCTACTGAGATTCGTATTTCTTATTAATCTTTGTGGTGAAGGCTTTTACAAGACCTGGATTGTTGGAATGACATACCTGTAACATCTAATCTTGTGTTGCATGTGGTCACTCCAGCTTCATTAACTGCAGACACAGTATACCATCCAGCATCCTTCTTGTTTACATCTTTTATCAATAAAGTAATTCTTCCAGAATTATCATGATATAAACTTAAAAAATTGGGAAAAACAAAAAATTTCAGAAATTGATTTTCTTTTGGAAGTTTGTTTTGTCTCTGACCTATTATATCTAAAGAAAAAGAATCCTTTGAAAATTCTGAGGTTATGTCATGATGATGTTGCAGAATAGGACAAGGTTTAGGAGTTGTGGTCAACTTTACAGCACAACGCCAAACAGCTGTTGGTTTTCTGGAATTAAATGCCCCTTTTTAATCTTGCTTATGGCATTTGTTTTCTTAGCCACCATTTTTTATTATTTGTAACTCTAGATAAATTGAGTTTATAAATACATGCCATGTGTTTCAATATCTAGATTAACCCAACTAAACTCTAAAGTCTAGAAAGATTTATCCTACCTTATTCGGTCAGTGTTGAATTGCACCATTTCATTATTTCTTTTCCAGAAAATTTTTGGCGGAGGTATAGCTGAGATCTGGCATTCTAGTTTCACTGAGTCTCCTTCAAAAACTTTTTTGCTTTGTGGTTTATAGATAAACATTGGTGCTCTTCTATGCTCTTTTGCTGTATATTAGGAAAACAAATATTTAAAATACTGGAAGATTTAATTGGAAGGGGGTATTTTATGAAACAAAAGTATTATGAAGTTTGCACATTAATATAAAGGTTTTAAAAGTAATAAGAATAGAAATCTAGTCCAAGACAATATCTTTTAGAGTTAGATACAGTAATAGAAAAAGTTATTACATTATTCCACAATTTAGAGTTCTACAACAGTAATGCAAATGTGTATTGAATGTATAATTATGTTTATGTATATTGACATGCAGTATGAATGGTGAAAAAAGTACCTACCAGATGACTTGGTTCATGTTCACTATTTGCCCTACTAACTATGCCAAATTTGGAAAAAATTAATTTAACTAAGCCAAGGTATTGCGATGGGAAAGTCTGCTGTTAGGGACCTCTCTAAAGTACTCAAGAGCAACGGTGTCTCTCTGGAGACTAAGGTGCGCCTGATACAGGCCATGGTTTTTGCAATCACTTGTTATGCATCAGAGAGTTGGTCAATGACTAGGGAGGATAGAAGGAGAATTGACACCTTTGAGCTGTGGTGCTGGAGAAGAGTATTGAATGTTCCATGGACTGCCAAGAAAACAAACAGATTCAGCCTGGAGAGGGTTAAACCAGGCTACTCCTTGGATGCAAGGATTCTGGGGCTTTGTCTGACATACTTTGGACAGTTGTAAGGAGAGACAGGTCCTTGGAGAGGGACATCATGCTTGGTAGGGTGGAGGGACAGTGCAGGAGGGGAAGGCCCTCTATGAGGTGGATTGATTCAGTGACTGGGATAATTGGGATGGGTGTGTCAAAGACATTGCGATTGGCACAGGATAGAGCAGGGTTTAGGGCTGTTGTACATAGGGTCGCTATGAGTCTCAAATGACTCGACAGCACATAACAACGACAACAAGAAGCCAAGGCTTATTGTTAGGTACTGTGCTCTCCAACTCGTAGGGATCTTGTGAACAACAGATTGGAACTTTACCCTATCCTATGCAATTCTGACCATCCATACCATCCTAAAAACCATTCTTATAGCCACTGGGTCAATCCATCTCCTCTTTCTCTGGTCCTTTACCCTTCCAAGTATGATGTCTTTTTCTAAGGACTGGCATGTCCTGACAATGTGCTCAGAGTATATTAAACCAAGTTTTGCCATCCTTGCCTGTAAGGAGCACTCTGTTCTCTCTCCAAGATAAGAGTTGTTTGTTCTTTTGCAATCCATGTTATGTTCGGTACTCTTTGTCAGCATATTGATTCTTATTTTGTCTTCCTCTTTCATTGTGCAGTTTATAGATGCATAGAAAACAATTGAAATGTCAATGACTTGGATCAGGTGCACCTTTGTCTTTAAGCTGATATTGCTGCTCTTTGGCATTTTGGAGAAGTCCTTGACAGCAGATTTTTCCCAGTGCAACATGTCTTGTGATTTATTTTTTTTAAATGGTAATGACAAGTGACCCAACAGCACATAACAACAACATCCCCAAAGGGACAGACCTTCCTCTTTGAAAGGAGACAAGGAAAAAAAGGCCAGCCTGTGATTTCTTGACTGCTATTACCATGGATTTGGAAGCAGGAGTGACATCCACTTTCTAAACAACATGCCTCTGGAAACTCTATGACCTTTGAATGAATGATGATAGTTATAGAAAGGCTTCAGGCCTTTTGTTCATAGGTCACTATGAGTCACGCTCAATTCGACAGCAATCAACACACCAACAACAACATTATCATGGATATTGATTATGGATCCAAATAAAGGGAGAATAGGGGCTTAGATATGCTAAATTTTTATCAGAGTATACTGCCTCATCTTTCCCCAAAAAGGTATGCATAGATTATGACAATTCTGTTAAAATGTGAAAAAAAAGTTACAGTATTTTAGACTATGGACAGAAATTATCACATCAAAAATGTCCCTTTGCAGTCACTACCTAATTAGGTCTGTTTTCCTTTACACCTATTAAGAAAATCTCTTGAGATATACATGTCATTCTAGTTCATTGAGTTTTTCTAAAAAATATGGAGGGAGTTTAGGTTTGTTTGGGTTGGTTATGTTAACAGATAAAAATTAATACTCTAACCATGAGGTGTTCTGGGAAATATTCTTTTTTTATTACAACTGGATTTTATAGGCTCTTACAATCTCTCTGAAGGCTTACCCAGGACATCCAGCTGCACAGTAAAGGTGGCCTCTCCTGCTCTATTTTTGGCAACACACACATAATCCCCGGCATCTGATGTTCTGACCACTTCAAAGATGAGCGAATGAAAACCCTTCTCAGACACTATCATTTTGTGTAAATCATCTGATTGAACTGGTCTTCCATTTAGATACCATGACACATCAGGAGCCGGCAGTCCACTTACCTAGAGAAAAAAAAACACAAGTAGAATGACAGAGTGTTCAGATGCACATCACTGGAACCCATTTGTGCCTTTATGAATTTCAGCAGTTCCAGTATCTGAGAAGATTTATAATCTAAAAATTGCAAAGTGCTCAAAAGGCATTTGCCTTTAATAATTTTAATAAAACAAAAGCAAATGAAATGAACATATTATTTTCTGACTATTTCAAACCATGCCTAGTTCTTTCTCATGCAACATCAACATAACCATTATTGTTTTCTACAAATAATAATCGAAGTTGTATGACTCTTCTGGCCAATGCTGACTAAAAGTATAGTCCCAGAGACACACATATGTGAGACTTACTGAGCTAATAATCGTCTGTCCTTGGAAAAAAAAAAAAAAGCTAGTGTCCTTGAGCTATGAGTCTAGCATATGAAGGGCAATTGATTGTTAGTTTGTAAAATGTTTTATATAAGCCAACCTTATATACAAAAATTAAGTCTGTACACTTTTAATGTTAATGAATCTGGAAAAACTTTATTTTTAAAAAAAGCACTTTCTCCAAACGAGAATAATAAAATTGTAAGCTCTTTTAAAGAATAATCCTAGTTTGAAGAAAAGTTCTATGCTAAGAGCAATCAGAGTGGTTTGAAATTTTGATGGAGGAGAATTGGAAATTCTGTTGCTATCAGAGCCTTGCTTTTATGGAATATTTATTAGGTGGTACGTATTATTGTGAAGGAGCCCTGGCAGCATAATGTATAATATGTTGGGTTGTTAACTGAAAGGTTGGCAGTTTGAACCCACAAGGTGCTCTGCAGGAGAAAAATGAGCAATCTCCTCAATTAAAGAGTTAAAGCCTCAGAAATACAATGGCAGGTATTTGATCCAAGGACAGTGGATTTTCAGATAGGCACTATTGTGAAGGAGCCCTGGTGACATACAGTGTGTTGGGCTGTTAACAGAAAGATTTGAAGGAGAGAAGATGGGGAGTTGCCACCCATTAAGATTTACAGCTTTGAGTTGAACATAGAAATCCCATATAAGCCAGCTATTCAACTGCTAGGAATATATCCCAAGGAAATTAGAACTGAAATACGAATGGAGATATGTATAGCTATGTTCACAGCAGTGTTATTCACAATAGCAAGAAAATGGAAACAGTCCAAATGCCCATCAGCAAACGAATGGATTGAGAAACTCTGGTACATTTGCACAACAAAATACCATGCAGTACTAAGGAACAATGATTTTATAAAACAGTATATAACATGGGAGAGTCTAAGGAGCATTATAATGAGTGAAATAATTCAGTCTTGTAAGGACAAATGCTGCATAAGACTAGTACTGTAAAAAGGATAACTGAGAAAATGTGTATAAATGTTCAAAAGGGGAAGAGGAAAGAGGGATGAGAGTATGAAAAGGGGAAGGGAGAAATCATTAGGACAGCAGAAGTTAGAGGGTATACAGGGGTTGTGTGAAGGAATAGACAAAATTCAATGAGGACTTGAAAAGATGGGATAGTAATAGCCATAAATCAATAGTAATTGATTTATATACAATGTACATGAATGTATGAAATGAAAATGAAAAAAAATTGTAGAATGTGACACAGTGTTTATGAATCAGTGTATACAAACTAATAAAAATATTTACTTTGAAACTGATGAAGGTTTGTCAGGAATCAGATTGACTAGACAGCAGTGGGGCTTTTTGTTATTTGTTTTGGTTTTTAATTGTGAGTATCTTATATTGATGTATAAGCTAATCCTTTTAATTTTATCAAGAGAGTGCATTTATTATTCTCATAAATAGATGAGACACAATCATAGAGAAGTTAGTAACTTGTTTAACATTTCAAAGCTGGGAAATAGCAGAGTCAGAATTCAAACCCAGGTCTGCTTGGCTCCAAAATCTGGGCACTTGCCTACCGTATATACTGCTTTCTCAAGTTGTGTGACAAGCTACGTAGGAAGATGACATTTTGCAAAATCTCGTATTCTATTGTTGATTGTCTCTCAATATTGTTGAAGTCTTTTCTTACTTTAAAGTCCATTCTGCAGAATCTTCCTTCTTCAATGGACATATTCTCTGGCACTTGGATGAAACGTGGTGGGTAAAATTTCTCTTGGATTGCATCCTGATCATTCACATCTCCCCTTGAGGATGATCTACTTCTACAAAAATATTTTAACAAATAGCTGTACGTGAAAGTTGTCAATGTTCTTCCTTTCACACAAGTATTATCTAGCAATCAAACTTGAACCCCAGAGTGTACTCCTTGATCAGATAACAGTGAAAGGCCTTAGGAGCAGTAATTAGCTAAGGTATGGTTGTGGACTTTTAGATACTGTAGCAATGCAGAAACATCTGGTTCAAATTATACTTCTGTATTTATTTTTAAAAGTGTCATGAGAAAAACATGATCCAATCTAAAAGCAGAATAGTATTCATGTAGTCTATTATCACATTTGTAAAGATTGCATAGAATTGTTTCCATTATCATGAGAAAGTTGCTTATAGAAATGTAGTCCTAGTTAATCTGACCAAATCATTTAAAAACTTCCCCTAAGATAGTTCTGATAATTTAAAATGAAATTTGTACTCTCATCTTAGACATTAGAGTTTTATTTACATTTTTTAAAGATAAGTCTGCTTTAAAAAGATATATTTTTTAAATGAAAAAACATTTTCAGTATCAAAGGCTATTGTTTCCTTATACATATTTTATTTTTACCTTACTTGTGATGTCGGAACTTGCAGTCGTGCGTGCTCTAGGTTGTGCTGCTTGAGAAAGAAAGAGAGTAAAAATGTTAGCATGTTGTTGTTAACATGTAGCTTGAAATGGAGAGGAATTGGGTAGCTGTCGTTTAAAATGTTCTTTTAAAATAACATTTCAATTTTGTTCTTTACTTATATACACACAGTCAAAGATGGATTTGGTTGTATTTATACAGTTATGGCTAGTTTTAGATATTTAATTTTTGTTTGTTGTTGCTGTTGTGTACCATAGAGTCGGAACCAACTCATAGCTGACCCTCCTGTGGATTTTCAGAGGTAGTTAATAGCACAGGAGGAGATTACCCATCCTTCTACTACGGAGCAGTTGGTGGCCTTGACCTGTGTGCCTTTGGGGTTGCAGTGCTGATTCTTGCCACTGTTACACTATCATATTACTAAGGGGAGCTCTGAGAGCATTGACTTTAGGGAGTTGCACTGCTAACCCAACGAGTGTGGCTCTTGGGTGGTTGCAGTCCACCAGTGGCTCCGAGGAAGAATGATGGACAGTCTCCTCCCTTGTCATTAACAGCTTCAGAAGTCCCCTTGAGGTGGTGGTGGTGGTGGCTGCTTAGCTATCATACTACTCTAGGAAGCAAGTCTTAGGAAGAATGGGACTGATAGACGGATATTGGTTATTTCTGAAAATTAGCTAAACTATGAATTGGTGATGGTCCATTTTCAGATGACTCTTTAATAACAAAGGATGACATACCCCCCGGAGAATTTGAAATGAGAGCATGGAGTACAGATTGTCCTTCAGTAAAACAGGAATAGCCATGAAGTCACTAGTGTTGGCAGTGGATACAGGGTATTAGCTCTACTGTTCGAAAGTGGTATCAGCAGCACTAAAAACACAAATTGGACTGGAAAATAAATTCCCTTTTTATCTCATGGCACAAAAATCTGATGACTTCCAAAGAAATAAGTATAGAACTATGAGAAAGCTTGGGAAACCAGCATTGGTTATTTCCTGCATAGTAAATTAAAACATTTTAAAAGGTTTCTATCTGAGCACTAGGAAAAAAAATTTGAGAATCAGATCAGAAATTGATAAACATTGTTATGTAATTAATTAATTGATAAAATATTAATTCAATATCTGTTTTTGATCTTTCATTACACTTGGGACAACAGGCAATACAAATACTGAGAAAACATAGTCTTTGTTTTTCAAACAACTAAAATACATTTATATGTTGTTGTTTGGGGCCATTGAGTTGACTGTCGCTCACTACAAGCCTATAAATAACAGATCTGAGCCTTGTCCTAGCCTATGTTATCCCCATCATCTCGGATATATGTCCATATGTTGTTGTTATGTGCCGTCGAGTCGCCTGCGACTCATAGCGACCCTATGTACAACAGCCCTAAACTCTGCTCTGTCCTGTGCCAATCGTACTGTCTCTGACACTCCCATCCCAATTATCCCAGTCACTGAATCAATCCGCCTCATAGAGGGCCTTCCTCTCCTGCGCTGTCCCTCCACCCTCCCAAGCATGATGTCCCTCTCTAAGGACCGGTCTCTCCTCACAACATGTCCAAAGTAAGTTAGACGGAGCCTCAGAATCCTTGCCTCCAAGGAGCCACCCGGTTTAACCCTTTCCAGGACAAATCTGTTTGTTTTCCATATAGAAACACATATATCTGAGTTAAATAATGTAAGCCTTATCTATTTACTTGGTATATTTTGTAATATTGAATAAAATTCTTGCAACTCTGTATTAACTATTTTTGCTAGCCTTAATGTTCTTAATGTTCTTTAAGAGCCTCTGGTGATGCGAATGTTTCAACTGCTTAAGCAACTGGACACTTGGCAGTGACTAAACATACCAACTAAATTTTTTTGGTAAAAAAATAATACAATGAAAACTCAAAATTTCCAAATTAAGTCTTTGATGTTTTTTTTGTTTGTTTGTTTTTTTCAGTGGCAGTGGTATTTTAATTATGGCAAGGGAGGGTGGAGGGACAGTGCAGGAGGGGAAGACCCTCTATGAGGTGGATTGATTCAGTGACTGGGGTAATCGGGATGGGTGTGTCGAAGGCAATGCGGTTGGCACAGGAGAGAGCAGGGCTTAGGGTTGTTGTACATAGGGTCGCTATGAGTCGCAAATGACTCGACGGCACATAACAACAACAACAACATAGTCTGATGACTTTTATTATTATTTGGGTATAGTGTTTGAAACATACATAAAAATAAAGATTTGAATTTTCTGATTTCATAATGATGTGTTATTGATATATCTTTTTTTGTAGCATTACTTTTATTTGAAAGTTATTTAAAAATGAAATTAATTATATACTTTGCACTTGTAAGGAAAGCCATCAATAGAATGTTTATTGTGTTGTTTGTACCGGTAACAGTAAATTTTTATCTTATATTCTCCTATCCCAAGTCCAGAGACAAACACACAGTAAGCATATAAGTAATTTCATTATAAAATAAAAATTATTTGATTGAATGAATGAATGTATGAAATGATCAATAGCCAGAGATATTTAAATAGCATTTTAAGTTTCTAGTTATTTTTTTACAGATCTTGCACCCTCGGTTTTAGTAGGCTTAATTTAGCAGAAATAAAAATTTCATTTTGAGCTTCCTATACTTGGAAGCTTGAAATTCTTGACTTCCCAGTTTTATCTCTCTGGTTCCTAGTTTCTTCTAGGTTTATTGGAGAGGATAATAGGTAACTAGCCAGAGAAAGAAAAAGAAATAAAGAGCAATAATATTGCTCGGGGTTGTTTACTTGATAAAATTGACTTGTTTAGGTGCAAGCCTATGGCATAGTAATTATGCTCTGCATAAAGTTGATCCTTTGTTGGAAGCGTTGCTCTTGTTAACTACTTGACAGTCATTCTTAGATTTATTTTTTTAAATAAATGAGAAGCAATTTTGTACTATCACAAAAGGAGTTGGCTAGTTCATTAATGCCACTTTTTAAAACACTGAAATTATAGTGATTGAGAAAAGTAAAATGTCTTTGATTTAGAGTTTAATCTTCTGTCTTATTAGATCCTCACTTCATGAATTTTCTTTTAATATAGACATGTTAGAAAGAGTCTTAGGTCTAATTGGCCCCTAAATGTACAGATTTATTATGAATAATTTAGCTCTCTTATTTTATGACATTTCATTTCTAGATATTAGAAAGTGTCAGAAAACAGTAATTTTAAAATTTATCTACATTGTTGAGCTTGTTGTGGCTCTTGTATTCATTATGGGTCACGAAAGGGGCTTGACTTAATTCAAATACTATTTAGAAGCATTTAGAAAATGGAACCAAAGGAAAATGTTAGATTATGTTTATTTTATTTACCTGGGGTGCATCTTGTGCTTCGTTGTCATTTTGAGTTTGGAATACGGCAGCTGCATTCTGTGGTCCCAGCAATCTTCGAGCCATCTTCTCCTCATACGTTAGCCGCTTTAAAGAAATAAATTGTTAAGGAGATAGTCATGACATGTGCTAAGAGTTGTGTTGTATAGCTTTACCTGAAAATTACTACTGTAAGTCAAAACTCCATAGAAGTACAATTCCATCTTTTGAGTTGAGATATTTTTTTGAAAGCTTTTTCTTAGTGATACAGCATTTTCTTTTTGTTCCGGTTCCCAATCTAATGTTCACTTAGGCTTTCTTTTCATTTTTAGGTAAGTCAAGTGCCCTCACTCTTAAAGAAGAGACTTCTATGTAAAAAAGGGAATTTCCTGTCTTTACTCATCCCCCCTCCCCACATGTCCTAATGTCCTCTGTCTCCAAATCTAGTACTGGATGTGCTAACAGGGATAGATTATTAGTAGATAGTGGATTTGACTGTATTAATTTCTAATTGAATTCCGTGAAGGATTCGAGTATTTTTGACAAAAGAGATATTAATGGTTTTTAGATTAAAGATAAGGTTTTTCAAAGTAACGGTACAGTGTGTTACATGATAAGAATGACAGTTATCATTGTTTTCCTATTAATATTATATAACAGAGTCCACAAAGAAGCTGAACTGATGATATTTCTCATTAGTATTTAGCCATCAGCCATAGTTTGTGAGAGGGTTAATGTTTAAAACAGGCAAAACGTATTACATCATTCAGATTGATTTACTTCATTCTTTTACTACTAAAATCCAAGAAGTATTATTATATAAAGACCTGTGGGATAGGACCCCAATAGTCTGTCTTTTTAAACAGTTCTGTCTCTTGTTACTGACGTAAGCCATAGATCTGTGAGACAGAACTTTCTTACTGAGAATATATTTTATAGCTTAATTGAATTTTTGTGTGAAATAGGTATCTTACGCACTTGATTTCCATTGTGAAGAATGCTGTCCTTGCATTTCAGTTTTCTTTCCAAATCCTGAATCAGAGCTTCTTTTGATCCTTGTATTTCATGGTCAGGAGTCCGTGGTGTGGGCTTAGCATTTGCAGTTTGAGATGGCTTGGCATTTACAGGTTGGCTAACAGAGGGTTGTTGATAGCTTTAAAAAGGAGAAATAAAAGATTATTATTTTTTTAAAGGAAGGTCTTTAAAGTAAAATATTGTGTTTAAAGTAGAACTGACCTCATTTTGTAAATCATTTTTGTTAGTGTTATTAAAAAACATTAATAGCCCTAATAATATCAAGAAGGATTTTATAATATTAACCAGGTTTGCTGTTTCTCTCCCCTACCTTCTTCTTATGCTTGGCAAGGGAAAATGAAATAGCAGGAGGAAGAATTTAGATTCGACATCAGAAGAATGTCCTTCTATGAACATCTCCTATGGAATGCAAATAAGCTATAGTCTGCCTACTGGCAGCTTGAGAATTCTTCCTGTCTGAGAACTGATTTTCATGGACTTAAGAAATATCATAAATTTGAGAAAAAATTGAGCTTCAGCTAGATTATTTTTACCATCTCTTCCTAGGTCCCTATAATCTTATATTAGTATCTTGAAATTGGTAGTGGTGGGGCAGTTATATTGAGAAAAATCAGTAAATGCCACAATTGTTGTTCCCTTCTGAGCTGATTGTTAAATACTTACCACAGTACCATAGATATTTAATAAATTTTCTATTGCTCTGCTTGAAGTCTGTTTTAGTCTCTGGTGTTCTTATTAATTTTAAATCTCCATTAAATTTAGGCTATTCTAGACATTCCAACTAAGTATTGTGCAATGTAATAAGTAGCCAAGTAACAAATAATTCCTAAAGTAATGACAGTTTCTTCAACATTGCTGAACTGATTTTTAAGAGAAAGGAATGAACAAATGGAACAAAGAAATGCACACTGCAAAGGGGTTTGGAATAAAAAGAAGGCAAATTAAATAGTTTAGCTCACATTCTTATTCTAAATTCTAATTCTACATTGTCTCAAAAGTGGCCCTGCCCTTGCCCGAGGTCCCCTCTGGATTCTGATCATAATAATGAGCCCTGTGCTATCAGGTCTGTTAGATTACTCACACTTTTCAGAATGCTTTGTCCTGGTTTATTCTTAAGTCCTGAAAGTACTAACTTACATCGTACTGTTTAATGTGAGAAACCTTGACATAAAAAGGCATTAATGAATGCTTTCCCATTATAATAATGGATGTTCTAGAGTTTCTAGACAATGCAACCTAGGTCTCTTCCTATCCCAATATTCTTTATGATCGCTGAAAGGACCTGTGTTCTAAGTAGAAATGTATGTTCTCTGAGTGGAGTTAGATTTTTCATTCTTGCTGGCTGTAGGGACTTAGTTATCACCAAATGGAAAATGTTCTTTCATCCTTATACATTTACATTGGCGTCCACTTCCATAATAGCTTGCCTCCGGAAACCCTATGAACTTGGAGAGAGGATGAAAGGCACCCAAGCGTCAAGGACTCTCCTTCATAGGGTCGCTATGAGTCACCTGCGACTCGACGGCACTTAACAACAACAACAACAACATAAAGCCTGGTTATAGGAGATACTCCTATTTTTTGAGTATGAATTAATAAATATTTTCCATTGTATTCAAGATGCTTTGTATTCAAAGTTGATGATGCATACTTTCCCTTCTGAAATTGTAGGTCTGCAAAGAAAAAAGCCACATCTGTTGTCCTTGAACCAATTCTGACTCATAGTAATCTTACAGAAAAGAACTGCTTTGTAGGGCTGCTGAGGTTATACCTTTTAGGGAAGGTGACTGTCACACCATTCTCCTAAGAAGTAGTGAGTAGTTTGGAACTCTTGACCTTTCACTTGCCAACTGAATGCTTAATCACTGCACACCACAGCTCCTGCATCAGGTCTGCAGGGCTGTTTATATTAATCCTAACTAAAAGATGTGTTGGAGATGGTGAAGTTGGCCCATGACAGTGCAAGGTTCAGAGCCATTGTTCATGTTGTTGTTGGGGGCCATTAGGTCAGAACCTACTCATAGCTGACCCTCCAGCAGGTCTTCAGAGGCAATTAATCATAGGGGATGGAGATAGCCCAGCCTTCTCCCATGGAGCAGTTGGTAGATTTGAATGACTTTGGGATTGCAGTGTGGTTCATAGGGTCACTACAAGTCATAGTCGACTCGATGACATATAACACAAACGAATTTGATTTGTTCGGTTGAGTAAATAGCCAGACCAAGAGTTTAAATAAGTAGTAGGAAACTTTTTTCTTTTTAACATTGAATTCTTGGATCAGAGTGCCAAAAATACCTTTGGGCTTTTAAAATGTATCTTATGTCTTTCTAGCTATTTGAAGTTGTGAACCAGTAAGTATGAACCAATAAATGACATACTGTTGTTTTTTTCCCCCCACACCAGCCTACTGTCTTTATAAAATGTCACAAGTGTTTGTGAGAGTGAATTGTTGTTTTTAGGTGCTGTCAAGTGCAACCCATAGTGACCCTATGAACAACAGATCCCTGTCCTATCCTGTGCTATCTTCACACTTAGAATTGTATACTTTTATTTTCAGATTATCATAATATACTATGTCCTTGGAGAGGGACGTGATGCTTGGTAGGGTGGAGGGACAGCACAGGAGGGGAAGGCCCTCTATGAGGTGGATTGATTCAGTGACTGGGGTAATCGGGATGGGTGTGTCAGAGACAGTGTGATTGGCACAGGACAGAGCAGAGTTTAGGGCTGTTGTACATAGGGTCGCTATGAGTCGCAAGCGACTTGACGGCACATAACAACAACAACAATATAGCTCAGAGATTCTGAAGGATTATCAAGACCAAGCCTGAAGGTCAATGATGTATATATCCCCTCAGTCACTTTGTTCAGTGAACACTCTGATTACTGCAAATTTAGATGGCTTTAAGTGTTAGGGTCAGATACCTGAGCCTGTTTGTAAGCTAACACTTATAATCTATTCTTGCACACCGTCTTTATAGGTATTTTGCTTTATCTATCATTAATCAGACAAGTACTTAATATTTTTACAGATTAGAAAACTGAATCACCAGGCAGGGAAGGTACTTACTAAACATACACACACAGAGTAAGCTTTTGGAAAGAAATAATCAGAATTAAAAGAAGTCCCCTCGATTTCTATTCTGTGGTTTGTTCAATTGAACAAACGCTTGCCTAAGTGTTTTCTACTGGAGGAGGAAGCTAAATAAAGCTTTCAAAATTCTCCAGGTCAGAATCAAGGGATTCTTTTAAGAGAAAGTTAAGCCCTTCATAACATTGGAGGAGTTGTGCACAAATGTTCAAAGAGCCAGAGCTTTGCACCCTGTACAGCTAGACATGGAATGGATATCAAATGGCTATGGGAAGATTAAAAAAGTTATCTATAGTCCTGAAAATGGAACAGCTAAAGCTGAATCTTTGATCTCTAACTTGGGAACCTTCTAGCCTTCATTTCTTATCCTCTGTACTTTTGCTTTCTTAGTTATATGCACAGACCTAACTTTGTGTTTGAAGCTTAATAAATACTTGTTTGATAGTTTTATTTTCTGGGCAGGTATTTTTAATAGAACATAAAGACTTTACTGAGAAAATATTATAATCAAGAAATAAGTAATTTTAAGCTGAAAAATGTTTATTATAGGAAATTTGGAAATAATTGAAAGCTTGATGAAAAGTGATCTTGGTAAAAGGTACCTGGAAAATGTTCTGACAGGCAGTAATGAGTATATTAGAAATTTGGAAGAGAAGAGAGAGAGCATGCTCTAAGTCCTTTAAGGTATTTCTTTGAAAATTAGATCAAACCTACAATATTGCTATTTTTGTAGGTCAGATGACTCTCAGTGATTTAAAATGGTTCCTTTTAAATTCTTGGAAAATGTTTTTAGATTTCTTTATTTTTCTTTTTAAAAGTATTTAACAGGTTTCTGTACAAGTCAAATTATTAATGCTGGTGCCCTCAATTTCCAGAGTTGTTACCAACAGAAATTTCTAGAAACTTTGACTTCAAGAGCCAACAAATTAACAAGAGGACCTGTCAGTAATCTTGCAACAAAACATATTTCATCGGACAGTTTGGGAGGTGCCTCTGGCTTAATTCTCTGATGGTCTAGCCAAGCCAACAAATCGGGAAACTGATAGCCCTGGGTTTGCTTAAGTACAAGGTATTCAGTCCATGTTTTAAAAAAAGCACAACTATTGCGTCCTTCATATCAGGTTCTCCTAGGACTGTTTTAGGCTTATGAAAATAGTACATGCTTGCATAAGACTGCAGGTATTCTTTCCTGCAGCTCAACCAATTTGAAGAGTGGTTTTTAATTACCAAAGGAAACCTTAAGGTCATAAGTCTTCATATTTGCAAGTGTTCCTTCTGATTATAGTGAAGCAAATTGATACACTTTAATTACTGAATCCCATTTCTTCCCCTTTCGGTTAAGTGTATCAGAGGAGGAAATGGATAGGAAGGAAAGACAAAGGCAGAAGAAACTTAATAGTCCCTGCTTATGTGAGAGGAAACCTTATCTGAAGAAGAGCAGACAGGTGTTCTTCATCTCAGTTGAGCCTAGAACCAGAGGATTTACATTTACAGCGTGAGGCACAGGAATTTACATATTTTAGAACCAACCAGGGGAAAGTTTTCCATTTTTGAGTGTCTTAGAAATCTTCCCACGTTTTGTTTTTAATATGAAAAATAATAGGTTAAGTAACTATATATATAGTAAGAAGTGGTTTGGGTTCAGTTCAATCTGGACATTGGAACAATGAGTTGGATGACCATTTAACTTTCAGTCCCTGCAGTAATCTTGTACAAAGGGAGCTCTAGTGGCCTAGTAGCAAGAGGCTGTGCTGCAATCTCAAATGCATGAGGTTCAAATCCACCACTTGCTCTGCAGGAGAAAGATGGTCAGTCTCCTCCAGTGCAATTAACTGCCTCTGAAAACCCACTTCAGGGTCTGGTAAGGGTGGGTTTTGGCTCAATGGTACATAACAACAACCCTTGCATAAAGTGTTCTAGGTGAATTATAGAATGAAATCTTCATGTCACTTTGCACTTTTAGATAGTGAAGAAAGAACAGCAGCACACTTCCAAACTCAGATACAAGCTTATGATACATAAAAAAATATATATATATGTATATATTAGAAACTCACTTACTTGGAGTCCACATTGGAAGGCATTTTACTGCTGCTGTAATCAGTCTGTGATGGTAGTATGGAGCTGAGGAAGCTGGCTGGGGACTGGTTGTAATAGGTGCCTCCAGCTCTTTGGCCGGGATTGGAGCCAGTGAGCTGCTGGGTAGAAGCAGGGAAAGCTGAGGAAGACATGGTGATGTGAGAGCTCACTGTTGATGAGGCAGAAAATCTTTTCTCTGTACACTGGCTGGGCTGGATGGTAATGGAAGACTGTTTGGTCTGGCTAGAGAAGCTGGAGGTTTCCGGTCCAGGAGGCTGCAGTCTGGAGCCACATGGATTTTGGGATTGGATGAAGTGTGTTGGACGTTGATAGTTAAACATGTTTAGCTGGTATATGGAAGAGGAAGGCAAGTTATTAATATGATGATTTGCTCCTGGAGGGGTAGAGTCCTGATTATGGGGCTGCAAACTTGGAATTATGGAAGGTTGCAAGGAATCAGAGGCAACCTTGATATGCTCCTCCTTGCTGAGATCCTGGGAAGACTTTGCTTCTGGCTTGGATAGAGTGGGCTTCTCTTGAAGAATTTTGTTCCTTCAAAAGGAGAAAATGAGTCTTGTAAGCCACAATATTTGCTTAAACACAACAATACTATTTATTTAATGTACTTATGAACTTTGAACCTTAAAACTTTCCTGACTTCTAGACTGGCCCCCACTTTAATCTGTGTGCACAAATGACTTTCCCTTGTGTGTCCCTGTGGCATTCTCAAGAAAGCATGCCCATGATCTTGGAGATGTGAGAATGCAACGTTGCATTCTCCAAGTGATTATATATGAACATAAATTCTGTGATGTTGCTTCATTTGATAATTTTATGATTAATTTTTTGCCCAGAGTTCAGCACAGATATTTTGTTATTTAAAATTAATAGCAGTTAAGTAAATAACATTTCAGCATCAATTTAGTTTAAATTCTTCCCATTATCCATTGAGACAGTTTAATAGACCTTCGGATACATCAATTCATTCATCGCTTGATCATCTTTGTTGAATAAAGTCTTAGTAAAATAAGGGAAGCAATATGCTGATGCTATAAAGACTATTACTGTAATCCATATTTATCCTTCACTCTTCCACAGTTCACCAGTGTTAAACTTTGCTCTTGTCAATTTCAGGTGGATGTAAAAAAAAATGCAGGTCCTGACTCTTATCATGTCTTAATTCCAGATTGACCATAATCCTAAATGAAATGATAGTGTGCGCACACACACACGCACACACACGCACACACACACAGCTCTGACTGCATTCCAGAACCATTTGTAAAATTTGCAGTTTTTAGATTGTATTTTCTAGTTTTTAGTCTTGATGTTCTCATAATTATTTTTATTATTTTAATTTTTAATATGTATTTGAGGTGAATTTTAAAATTATCTTAGCTCCTCTTTTACTTTTTGGAATGGCTAACAGGATGTACAGAAGGAAATGAAGCAATGCTGAAGCTAGCCTTTACCCTATCCAGAAAAAAGTACTATTTTTCTCTCAACTAACTACAGTGTCCCTTCTGCCTTCCTACAGTGATCCTAGTTATTCCTTTGATGAGTACTTTGCCACAAAAATAAAACCTTAAGGGTTCTATTGGCCTCTCATTTCTTTTGTTAGTATGGTAACTGTAAGCAGAACTATATAAATACAGACATAATACACCAAGACTTAGAATTTTAACACTGGTCCTGGCTTTATTTAAAATATCAAGCAATTTAATTGGAAATACATTTACCTTGCTTTACACACTGTAAATCAACATTGTGTTAATGGTAAACTTTTAACTTAAAATATTAACCACATTATTTTCATTAAGTCTTCTAGTTTTTAAGTTCCTGTCTTGAAGAAAATACAACTGTTAATGCAGGTGTTTTTATATCCAGCAACTTCAATCTAAGGTTGTGTGTGCAGTTTTGAATTAAATGCATAATAATAATTGTGGGGAAGAACAAACATACAAAGAGCCAACAGAAGGGAAAACCATTTAAAAAGTTATAGAGTCTTTTATTTCCAATTTATGGACATAAACTTGTCCAACCAGCGTGTACTTCAATAATGAACTGTAATATTTGTATAATGTACTTCAATAATGAACAATAATGTTCACTAATGAAGATTAGGTTATTAAATTATTGGGAACAAAGAACTAGGAGGAGATGTTAATTAGATATTATTTTGAAAAGACTGTATTTTAAGGAAAATCATTTTGTTGCTATGAATTTCCTTTCTGGGAAGGTAAGTTATTCAGGATAATTTTAAATGTCAAAAAACAAAAATAAAACTTTTTTTCCAGAAACAAAACTTTAAGAGAGTATAATTATCCTGTATGTTTTTGTATTGGTCTCTATAATGAACAGTTACTGATATTTTTAAAAGTCCAATTAAAACCACAGATTGTTTCAAAAGCTTCATTTCATTCATATCTCAACAAAATTTTTTGAGATTTTAATGAAAGTTTATAGAGAACTTGGATTTCCATTCATTTATTGTTGCGCATCTCCCTCTTTGTCCCCCCTCCTTCCAGTTAGTTTTTTTCCTTTGGAAAAAAAAGTTCTTTAGTTGTTATACAGTTCTGCCCCCTCCCCAACTCCACTTTACTATGCAGCTCTTATTCTGGACTCTTGTCATGCCAATAATACCTAATCATATATTCCTTTTATGCAGTTCTCTCCCTTGTCTGTTTCAATGTCATGTACATTGTTTATCCCTTCTTTTCTTAGCTTTCTCCCAACCCCCATGTCAGTCCTGTTTTTCAACAAAATTTTTAAAAATATGCTTTTAGACAGGTAATTCTACTATACTTTTCTTCATGCTTGTAATACTGTATAAAGTTCCATTCTATTATAGATTCTTTTATATGACAATGTTACTTTATTTAAAATAATTTCACACAGATTTCAAACCTTTTATATGGTAATACTCAATTTGCTATTTTAAAAATCTTAACTTTCCCTACTCTATCTCTAATTTAACACAGACTTTAAAAAATGGAGAGAATATTTTGAAGGTATAAAATATTGCTGTACTAACTTCAGATCATTTTAAAAGGAAAATTATTTAAAAATAATGACACATCACTACCTTTCCCTCCTATCCTTTCTATAATAATTTCCAGTTACAGTAGAATTAGACCACTTTCTCTTCGAATTCTTGTGTAATTACAAAATTATGACTCTCAATATATTTATCTGAAGGTCACCATTGTATATATACACCCCTCTAATTTGGGGACGGAGGAAGAACCAAACCAAAACACAACTCAAAATTAGCAGGAATAAAAAGACACTTACCCGTCGTTCCAACTGAGTGTTAACCCTCTACTGAAGGGAAGCAGGAGGCATCCCCTTTCCTCACAGCATAATCTAGTTGCTCTGTGCTTAGTATTATAGCACCACTGACTTTTATCAGCTGCCAAACAGTGACATCTGATGTGCTTGCCTGTCCATCTACCTATGCTGGCATGTCAAAGTAAGAGTCCACAATCTAAACAATATCTCAGATGTCTCAGTGATATTTAAGGAGTGGGATTACATGAGCTTCTCTTGCAGGCCTCTTTATTTTAGACATGAATTTTGACTATGAGCTTTAGTGAACTCATATAGGGGAAAGTGCAGTGAATTGAGAAATGGAGAAAGTATAAAGAAAACTCATTTATTGTGGTGGAAGCTTCTGATCTTCCGCTGTTGAAGAGAGAAGAGCTAAAAGAGAAATTGTCGGCATTCTAAGACATTCTTCTACCTAGAAAGATTCTTTAATAGAAAACTAGTGGCAAATGAGATTCAAACTAATCCTTCATTTGAAGGTAATGCCGACCCCCTAAATGACAGAGGGTCAGAGTGGAGTTCAAGTAATGTGCTTAAAGAAAGGATATGGTATCAGGGCACAGGTAGGAGAGCAAGGTCATATCAATATGCCATTGGAAAGGCAGAGAGGTGGAAACTTCAGATTTATTTTATTTTAGCAAGTTTTTCTGAATCTGTTACATAGACCTCTTGATCAGTACTTTCATTCTAAAGTTTTGAAACACTTAAGAAATAGGAAAAAAAATAGGCAATACAATTAGAGCTCTGTCTATCGAGGTTCTTTCATCTTTACTCTTGACCGTTATACAGTTTTCTTATTTTTTTTTTATCATGGAGATCATCTGGATATTTAGGCTTCCACTTTTGTACAGTAAACAAAGTTAAAGTAAGAAGCCTTCAAACAATAGGCAGATAGTCCTGTGGAGTGGATGGCATGAAAATAAGACTAGTCTTTACGTTTGGATGGTTCTATTTAAAGTGTAAAGTGTATCTATCTTGTCTCTTCCCTCATGGGTGACCTAAATCCAGAACAACTGAACCCATGCTGTTGAGTTGATTCTGACTCATAGTAACCCTTTATCAGATTTCCTAGGCTGTATCTAAGTCTTCAGGGGAGGAAATTGCCCATCTTCCTCTCATCAGTGGTTTGTGGATTCAAGCCACTGACCTTTCAGGTGAGCAGTCTGGTGAGTTATGCACTATTCGACTATATTTCCTTCATGCATATCCCAATCTTGATTTAATTATTGCATGCATGAAAGTAAAAAAGTATGTATTTCAACACATAGGCACCATAGCAAATTCTTCATGGCTGATTATGTAGCTGTGTCTTCTTTTATTGTTATGTGTCATTGAGTCATCGTCACCCTATATACAGCAGCTCTGAAGGCTGCCCTGTCCTGAGCCAGTCTCACTTACTCTGACACATTACCCCTATGACCCCAGTTACTATATCAATCCATGCCATCTGGGGCTTTCCTCTCCCGCACTGTCCCTCCACCCTTCTGAGCATGATGTCCTTCTCCAAGAATCGGTCCCTCCTGGCCACATACCCAAAGTATGTGAGATGGAGCTTCAAAATGATAGCCTCCAAGGAGAAACTTGGTTTCACCCTCTCCAAAACAGACCAGTTTGTTTTCTTGGCATTCCATGATATGTTCAAGATTCCTCTCCAGTACCACAACTCAATTACATTAATTCTTCTTCTGTCATCCTTAGTCATTGTCCAGCTCTCTGATGCATAGCAAGTAAATATGGAAATCATGGACTGGATCAGGTGCACCTTAGTTTCTAGATTGACTTCCTGGCTTCTAAGTACTCTGAAGAGGTCCCTGACATCAGCTTTTCCCAGTGCAATTAGTCTTTTTTTTTTATGTTATCCACTTCCTAAACAGCATACCTCTGGAAACTCTATGAACTTTGATAAATGTTGATAGTTATAGAAATGTTTCAGGCCTTTTGTTCATAGAGTTGCTATGAGTCGTGCTTGACTTGAAGGCAATCAACAACACCACAACATTCTGTGTTTTATTGACTATGCAATGGCATTTGACTGTGTAGATCAAAACAAATTATAGATAACATAATAGGGAATTTAAGGGAATTTGGAATACTTGTCTTCATGTAAAATTTCTACATAAACCATGAGGAAGTTCTTTAAATAGGCCAAGGAGATACTGTATAGTTTAATATCAGGAAAGATAGTGAGGATTGTTGTTTAAAAAAAATATACTGGTTTATTTACAAAGTTTATATACATTGTTTTTCACACTGAATTTTTTCCCATTTGCTTCACCCACTTCTTTCTCCACCCATCAAGCAATTGGTTTTTTGATTTCCTGATTGCTGGTGGCAAGGGTATTCAGAGAAAGTTTGACAATTGCTGCCTGGGCACATACTCATTACTTAGTAGGAAAAGTACACTAGGCGCAAGTAGGTGGTTGCCAACAAAATCTTATTTCAGAAGTACCCTAAAATATTTCCACACATCTGCTCACAAATAGTTCATATGCCATTAATAGGAACAAAATGTTTCACTCCAAATTAGAATTCTTTATAGGCTTAGAATCCAAATGCAAAAAACGTAAGGAAAATAAAAAGAATAGTCACATATGTAACAGTAACTATGAACAAGACACTATTGTAAGCATTTCAAATATGATGGATGTGATTAATATTTGGTTCCTTTCTGCTAGTAAGGCTTAATTAGGACAAGGAGTAGGAAAGATTCGATTGGAGATTCCTTTGTACCTAAAAGGTTAGTATCTACCCCATTGGTCAACTAAAATAGATGTCTAAAACAAATTGCTAAGTCTCCAGTTTTGCCTAGGCCAGATTCTAAATGTAGAGAAATGGAAAATTTTTAGCTACACTTCTCTCTGTCCTTTCAGCATTGTCTTTTATTCCCTCTGAGGACTTTTTAAGTTATAGTGTGACAGCTCCATGGTGATCAAGACTAGGTTTTGACTACATTAAGGGGATCAAGGATTAATTTAGGAAGATTAAGTAGATTGTCTTTATAGTTCTATTCGCAATTGGTAATGATCAATATTAGAAAGTTGGCAACTGTATCTATGGACTTCACCTGATATACACAGGAATCATATTGATTATGTTTGTGTAAAGAATCTCTGGGGAAGCTCAATGTCACCTGTGAAAACTAGGCCAGGTGCTGATTATGGAACAGACCATCAACTACTCACACACAAGCTGAAACTAAAGCTAAAGAAAATGAAATCAAATCCACAATAACCAAAATTTGACCTTGAGTATATCCCATCTGAATTTAAAAATCATCTCAGAAACAGGTTTGAGGCTTGAACACTAATGAACAAACTCAAGATAAGCTATGGGAGGATATTCAGAATATTATTCATGAAGAATGGAAAGGGTCATTGCAAAGACAGAGGAAGAAGAAAAGACTGAAATGGATGTCAGAAGAGATCCTGAATATTGCACTGGAGCACTGAGAAGCCAAAGAAAAGGGACTAGAGCAGGAAGTAAAGGAGCTGAATAGAAGATTTCAAAGGGCAACTTGGGAAGACAATGAAAAATATAATAAGATGTGCAAAGAGTTGGAGTTGGAAAAATAAAAGGGACAAACTTACTCAGCATTTCTAAGCTGAACAAACTGAAGAACACATTCAAGCCTTGGGTTGTAATATTGAAGGATGCTATGGGCAGAATATTGAATGAGGAAGCATTAAAATGAGATGGAAGGAGTATACAGAGTTACTGTACCAAAAAGAATTGACTGGCACAAAATTCATGAAACAACATATAATCAAGAAGCAATGGTGATGAAGGAGGAAGTTCAAGGTTTTTTGAAGTAATTGGCAAAAAACCAAGGTCCCAGGAATTGATGGAATATCAATTGGCATATTTCAACAAACATGTTCAAACAGGTGGTGTCAGGAAATCTGGAGGACAACTACCTGGACAACTGACTGGAAGAAATTTACATTTATTCCTATTCCAAAAAAGATGGTCTCACAGTGTGGAAATTATTGAACAATATCACTGATATCACACACAAACAAAATCCTGCTGAAGATTGTCCAAAAACTACTGGAACTGTACAGTGACAGAGAACTACCAGGCATACAGGCCTGGTTTAGAAAAGGCTGTGACATTAGAGACATTATTGTCAATGTCAGCTGGATCTTGGCTGAAAGCAGGGAGTACCAGAGGAATGTCTTTCTGTATTTCATTGTCTATGCAAAGGCATTTGACTATGTGGATAACAACAAATTGTGACTAACCTTGAGAAGAATGAGAATCCCACTTAATTGTGCTCACATAAAACCTAGACTTGGGCCAGAAGTAGTCATCAGAAAAGAGCAAGGAAACATTGCATGGTTCAAAGTCAGGAAAGGAATGTGTCAGGGATGTGTCCCATCTCCATACCTTTTCAATTTATATGGGGAAGAGATAATTTGGGAGGCTGTACATGATGAAAAAGAATGTGGCATCAGGATTGGAGGAAGACTCATCAATAATTTGTGATATACAGATTACACAATCTTGCTTGCCAAAACTGAGGAGACCTAAAGCATTTGCTAAAGATAGTCAAGCACTACAGTCTTCATTATGGATTGAAGTTCAGCATAAAAAATACACAGATTCTCATCACTGGGCCAATTAGTAGCACCATGATATATGGAGAAGATATTGAGCTTTTTAATAATTTCAGCTTGCTCAGTTCCACAATCAACACTCTTGGCACTGTTGTTGTTATGTGCTGTTGAGTCACCCGCAACCCATAGTGATCCTATGAACAGCAACTCTGAAACCTGCCCTGCCTGAGCCAGTCTCATTAACGCTAACACACCAAACCCATATTACTATATCAATCTATCTCATCTGAGGTCTCCCTCTCCTGTGCTGTCTCTCCACCCTTCTGAGCATGATTTCCTTCTCCAAGGATCTGTCTCTCCTGGCCACAAGCCCAAAGTATGTGAGACAGAACTTCAAAATTCTAGCCTCCAAGGAGAAACTTGGTTTCACCCTTTCTAAGATAGACACTTCTGTTTTTCTTGGCAGCCCATAGTGTATTCAATATTCTTCTCCA